TCCAGGTTACAGAAAAAAAGCTTTGACAGAGCAGTGGTTATGAATTTGGCTGCCATCAGCAAGGTTGGCAGTTCAAAGCTACCAGTCACTCAGAGAGAGAGAAGCCAGGGCTTTCTATTCCTGTAATCATTACTGTCTCCAAACTCAAAAGCGGCAATCCTACCCTGTCGTATAGGTGTTAGGAGTCAATATCCACTCTGGCAGTGAATTTGAAAAAATGTGGAATTACAGAAAGGGGGGGGTGGGGGCGCGGGCCACACAACTCTGATTCTGAGTAGAGATCTTTGTTAGACATAAAAGGAAATTGAGGGCACAAAGAAGTGATGTAATTATGTACACGGGGCCTCAGCTGGGCTTGCACGTGGACAGGTGAGTCCTGTCCCACTGTGCTTTGCGTTCCTGGGTTGACGCTGTGGCCGCATCCCAAGCAAGAAGTATGGGATGAACACAGGTGAGGTAGACGTGCAGAACCCAACTCAGACCTATTTCTGAAAGATAGATCTAGCCGAGTTTGAGAAAGCTATTTTGGAAACCAGGCAAGCTTGCTTGTAGGATGAAAGGGGTGCCTGAGATGATGCCGTAATCCTGCAGCGCACTTCCTACACTGCTCACCTGGGGAGGAGCATAGGGGCGACAGTGGGTGGGAAATGCTCAAAATGGCCCGACTCTGATCACGAACAGTTCCTCAGCTGCTCCGACCCCCGTTATTCCACTTCACAGAAAGAAGAGAAAGCCTGTTCAGAAAATGGTGGCTGTGCCGCAGGTTACAAAACCTCTGGGAATGAAAGCGTGGGGATTACAGTGGAAGTTCGGGATCTCAGAGGAGCCAAGGAGCCTGACCAGCTGAGGATTAGTGTACATGAAAGATGACCACTGCTGAAATTTGACACAGAGAAGGAGATTAAGTAAACAGGCTTGTCACCAGTGTCACCCTAAGGAAGCACAAAAGAAAGGGCAAGTGGTTTGTTGTTTAGTAACCACGTGGTGATAACATTCTGAAACATTCATTGTGGACTCTGGGGCGGTGTATACCACATTATTTACAAACGTAATAGACTAATTCCCGTGGGTGGAATACCTGTCAGAGAGGAGGAGAGGCAGAAGGACGAAGAGTTACGGATGATTCAAGTAGCAACAAAGACAACAGGAAAGGAGAGTTGGCGCTCTTAGAAGGGGTTGGTTTACTGTTTTCCTAACCAACCAGGCTGTTGGCCCAGTGCCCTCTAGTGTTTGGGAGAGTCACTGCAGCCTTGCGTGATAAGGGCAAACAGTTCTGTGGACTTGAGGCCATCATTCAAAGTAGTCATTCATAGGAACACCGGCTCTCCTTGCTGTGTCTGACTATTGCTTTGAGTTTCACCACATCTCCTCACCTGGGTAGAGTGCTCTGCTGAGCTCATCTGGTTGGAGACAAGGCTACAGAGGAGTGTGCCTGGTTACCCAAATCAACCCTGTGTCTTTAGCTGGGAAGGCAGGGCGCTTTTTCACATTTACAGTAAAGACCTTGGGCTTCAAATTAGCTGGCACTCTGAAATCTCACCCATCAGAAACAACTTCACATAGCAGTCCCTGGTGTATCATGCTACCGATAGGGCCAGCAACTCTCCCTGGAAAAAAGGTTTTTGTAGCAGGCAGCTGTCTATCTGAGGTGACTCCTGGCCGGGGGTGGGGGGTAGGGTGTGTGTGGAGTGTTCCCCTCCAGCAGTGTAGCCTTGCCCAGGTTACTTAACTTCCAGCCTCAGGCTAGGCTTCTCATCAGCAAGCTGGGTTGTGAGGAGCCTGGTCATGATGGAGCTGGGAGAGTTTCTCTCTTCTGCCTCCAAAGACTTAGTAAACTGAGCAGCTGGGCTGGACCACGGAGGGTCCTTGCTCTCTGTCACCAGGACTTTCCAACTTGGTAGTGGGGTGGGGGTGGGGGTGGGGGGCTTTAGGAAATGAATTGTCCAAACCGGATAGGTATCATGAAATTTGCCATGTTTCCGTATACGTTGACGTCATTAATGCACTCACCATGCTGCACTACTACCATCACCACTATCCTTTTCCAAAACACCCCAAATAGCCAACCGGTGCCCATGAAGCAATACTCCCCACTCCCCCCACCCCCAGTGCAGATTGCTTTTGTCTGACCGGCAAGAATGACCAGAATGCGGAGGCTGTGTGTCCCTGGGGGTGGGTTGGGGAGCAGGCTAGTACAGAGCTGTGTGCTGATGGGATGGAAGGAGGACAGCTAACTAACTCAGACACTTTCTCCAGCCCATCCCGAGAGAAAGGCAACTTCTAGGAACACCTCATGCTTCTCCTGAAGGAGCTTGCCAGGCCAAACAAACCTCTAAGAACATGTTTTGCCTGGAGGGAAAGGGCATGGAGAAGGCAGGCCTAGAGACCCAGAAGCAGCCCATGCAGCCTTGCAGCTTGGTGGCTGAGTCACACTGGGAGGGCCTGGCCCGGCTGGAGTGAGTGAGTGAGTGAGTGAGTGAGGCAATGAGGCCACGAGGCCTGCGGATGCCCGGAGCATGTTGTCTCTTGATTAGTCCTGGGCAGCCCTTCCTGAATGATGGGGTGCCTGCCTTGTGACACAGTTGAAAGGGAGCCCAGGAATCTGTCCTTTGTACACCTGTATGTACAATGGGGACCCCTTCAAAAAACAGAATTTCCCCCCCAAAGCTATGTATTTATAAAACAAGCTCATCACCTTCAAAGTACTCTCCATTGCAATTAATACATTTGTCAAATCTGCGATTCCATTCTTGGAACATTTTTCAAACTCATCTGTTTGGATGGCTGACAGCACTTCCCTCGTTTTCATCTTCACCTTTTTTATGTCATCAAATCGCTGTCCTTTCATGTCCCTCTTCATTCACAGAAACAAAAAGAAGTCACACAGAGCAAGGTCAGGTGAGCAAGGTGCATGGGGCAAGAGAGGCTTGCTGGTTTTTGCCAAAACCTGGCACACTGAGATGGCTGCGTGAGCAGGTGCCTTGTTGTTGTGGCAAAAACAGTCCCGTCTGCCACAAATCAGGCTTTTTCTGTCGCACACTGTTGTGCAATTTTTTCAGAACCTCTAAATCAGCGGTTCTCAACCTGTGGGTCTCAACCCCTTTGGGGGGGGTGTTGAGTGACCCTTTCACAGGGGCCACCCAGTTCACAAAAGTAGCAAAATTACAGTTATGAAGTAGCAACGAAAATAATTTTATGGTTGGGGAGTGGGGGTGGTCACCACAACAGGAGGAACTGTATTAAAGGGCCACGGCATTAAGAAGGTTGAGAACCACTGCCCTAAATAGAAAGCTTAAAAAAAAAAAAAAGAAAGCTTGACAAACAGTCTGAGTTCGTGGGATGAACTCCAAATGCACTACAAGTCTACATTTTCATCTGTTCGGGAAGTTGACAGACATCCAGAACGAGGTTTGTCATCAATTGACATTTCACCCTTGTAAGCTGTGTTCAACATCACAACAGTTTCTGCTGAATTTTTCCTGGGCAGGAAACAAAATGTCACAGCTGCATGCTGTTCTCTTAAATCGACCATCACAAACTGCTTTTATGAAAAAATTCACTGACCAAAGAGAACCTTCCCAGGCAATGCCACTGGGCGCACTAACTCCGACCAAGTTGATTGATGCTCGCGGAGTGGGGGGAAGAGTGTCCTAGCGCTCTGCCCGGTGCAATTCTGTGTTTTTTAGGGGTACCCCCTCATGTTGTGTGCATTTGCACTGTTATTCAGAAGTGTTGAAGACTTAGACGGACTTCTGCATACCAATGTCCCCTCAGGCATGCGCCCAGCAGTAGTGTGGTCTGAGGCTGTGTTGCTTTTAAGAAGAGATAGGGGAATAAAAATTAATTTTTAAAACTTGAAAATGCTCTTTATGTAAAGTTATGATGCGGGCTAATTTTTTCTCTCTCTTTTTTGTTTCCTTTAGGAAAACTACCCCATCCCTGAACCGGGGCCAAATGGTAGGTCCTTGGGAACCGTGTCTTCTAGCTGGGCATGTGCTGCTTCCCTTGGAGATGCATGTGCCAACATTGCTGCCCGTTCCGCGTTTCCCCTTCATCACCTGTGCCAGGCCGTTGTCAGGCCGGAGCCCGCTCTGCTGGCCGCTGGGTTTAACTGGATGCTACGGGGAATAAGAGAAGCAAGAAGGAACCCCGGAAGTTCCCGAAGCAGATGGCTGACTTGTCCCAAGGAGTTTTTGAGAGTGTTTTGTTTTGGCCACCCCCACACCTCTTTAATCTATGGCTCAAAGGCAAACTGGTTCTCCTTTGACTTCACCAGTTCGTCTATCCACCGTAAAAGGGGGATTTGGGTTACCAGGTCACGGCTTTTCTCCCCGACTTTGGAAAGGAGTGTGTGCAGATTGTACGTAGTCTTTTCATTAAATAAGAGAACACGGTGCCTCTGCTGCCTCCTCCCTTGCAGATGGCCACTTAAGGAAGAGCAGGGCACCCAGGGGCCTTAGGTCTAGGGCAGTGGGTCTCGTCCTTCCTCCTGATGCCGCCACCCTTTCATACAGTTCCTCGTGTTGTGGTGATGACCCCCCCCCACAGCCATAAGATTATTTTTATTGCTACTTCATCACTGTCTTTTTGCTACTGTTATGAACAAGGCGACCCCTGTGAAACGGTCATTCGACCCCCAAAGGGGTCTCGACCCACAGGTTGAGAACCACTGGTCTAGAGGGATGGGTGGGGCTGCCACACCGCCCTGATCAGCCAAGCTCAGAAAGTGGGTAAGTTCACTAGGGCAGGGATGCCCACACCTTTGCTCCACTCTTTCTGGGCTTTTCCGTGGGCGGGCCATTAGGCCCAACAGACTCGCACACATCCTGGGGTGGTGTCTGGGCCCCGCAGCCATGCCCCCCTGGGGCTACTGGGCTGATAGTTTCCATCCCTGGAGTTCCCCATCTTCCTAACCTGGAGAACCCTAAAAGGAGGAGGATGGGGGCAAGGAATGGGCAGAGTGGCCATCGGCAGCTCATGTCCCCAGCCAGCCCGCCCTTGCCCCAAGACTGCGGCTCATTCTTCAGATGTCAGGACACAGCAGGTTGAAGGCAGCTCTTGTATTGGTTCCAGAGCTGTGCTCTGGACTTGGGCCGCTGGGTTATTGATTTATAGTGATAAGACTGCAGACAATAGCTACTCTTTTATCAGGGCTTAGCAAGTAAGGTGTACTTAGAGTTGACGTGCGTTCACTGAGGCATGTTCCTCTCCCCGAAGTGAGACAGGCAGCTCACTGGGTCCTGAAAAGTTAGTGTTGATTCTAGGGGGGGCCAAGCACGCCCTATCTTGGAGTGGAAGCATATTCTGCTCCGTGTGGCTCTCCCTTTCCCGAGCTGCCCAGGCTGAGATGGAGGTGCCTGCCCAGAGTTCCAGCATGCCCAGTGTAGTCTCGCGTTGCTACAAGTGGGCAATTTCAAGTGAGGTGATTTTCCTAACTTAAACACACTTCCCTACCTTTCCGATCAGCATTCATCCTGTCCATTTACCAAAGCCGAGGACAAAGAGCTCGGCAGGGCCACCCTGGTGGATGGCGCGAGTGAGCTTGGGGGATCTCTGTTCGTGTCAAAGACCCTTTGCTATTTCATTCAGTGAGGGGGTCAGGCTCACAACAACACCACCAAATCTTTGCTTTTCCCACGAGGAGGACCACTGGGCGGTTTAAATGGAAGCTGCCCCTTTTCAAGAGCAGTAGGTGCAGAGAACTGCGCCAGGTTTGGCCAGGCCATACTGTCAGGCTGTCCTTCAGGACTACATAGGAATATTAGCTGTCTGAAAACCAGTTCTCTTAAGTGGTGGGTCTATTTCCTCCTGCTAATAATAGCTTGTGGAAGCAGTTCATGTGCTCGACAGGGCTTAGTGGAGGCTGCCTGCCTTGTTCTCTGGGGTCTGAATCTCACACTGGGCCTCTGAAGGGAGATGGCTGGGGCACCTCCAAGTGCCCGAGGGACCCTTCCTTCCCTCATTGTCTTCCCCTCCTCCTCTCTTCCCAGAGGTGCTGCTGAAGATGCATTCTGTTGGCATCTGCGGCTCAGACGTCCACTACTGGCAGCACGGTCGAATCGGGGATTTCGTGGTGAAAAAGCCAATGGTGCTGGGGCACGAAGCTTCAGGAACAGTCTTCAAAGTGGGATCGTTAGTAAAACACCTGAAACCAGGTCAGCAAACTCTCTCAGCTAAACCAACTTATTCATTCAACGCAAATGCAGACGTGTGCTTTATCTAAGCCAGGCCCGCTGTGAAGCACCAGGGACCCAGTGGTGAGCCAGACAGCCTTAGCTCCTCGAGCACAGGTCATGCCTTCCCGGGTAACAGACTAGAGACCGGCAAAGGTGTAGTCACAATTATTTTAAAGGGAAGGAAGGAGAACACAGGTGCTAACGGTGCGTTTGGTCCACACTCCTGCTCGGCCCGAGGAAGGAGCAATTAGTCTGGCACGTGAAGTCCAGAAGGAACCTCGCCAGGTAAAAGGGCTGGAGGAGATGCCCAGGAATGAGAGGAAGTACCAACCGCCTCTAGACTCTAAGAGCCAGAGCCCTGGAGCGTAGCCTTTGGTCCTTATTGGGTGGCTGGGAAACCACTCATATTTTTGGTAGGTTCACTTAATTCTTTCTCCCAGAGGGAAGAATTCTCCAAGGTAGCACATTCTCTCTTGTTCCCTGACCCAGCACCTTAAATTAAGGTGACCAGATTTTAACATTGGTAAAGTGGGACACCATTGATAAAACTCATATCCTGGCGAAATAGCCACATGACAACCAAAAACCGTATACCCTAGCTTGTCGTGCATTCTTTCCAAAAATCGGGACTTTTTTTTAAAATCATTTTATTAGGGGCTCATACAACTCATCACAATCCATACACACATCAATTGTGTAAAACGCATTTGTACATTAATTGCCCTCATCATTCTCAAAACATTTCCTCTCCACTTAAAGCCCCCGGCATTAGGTCCTCATTTTCCCCCTCAGGGAGAGTAGAGGAAGAGTGGGTAGGAACGAGGGAACCGATTACAAGGAACTATATGTGACCTCCTCCCTGGGAGACGGACAACAGAAAAGTGGGTGAAGGGAGACGTCGGACAGGGCAAGATATGACAAAATAACAATTTATAAACTATCAAGGGCTCATGAGGGAGGGGGGAGCGGGGAGTGAGGGGAAAAATCGGGACTTTTTAAAAACGCTGCGGGACCCAGGAAAAAATTGTTAAAAATTGTTCAAAAGCGGGACGGCTGGTCACCTTACTTAAATTCAAGCTGTGCTGGCATCCCCTTCCTTTGTTGAGGGAGGGGCTCGCTCACTGCACAGCCTTGAGATGGCGTCGGGGTCTTTAAGGCACCACGTGGTCCTGGCAGAGTTGTCCCGGGGACGGAGTGGTTCTGGTTGGGCTTCTAAGTGTAAGGTCAGCCATTGGAAACCACCAGCCTCTCCGTGGGAGAAAGACTCCCTTGAAGAGTGCTCGTCTAGGAAAGTCACCGGAGAGGTTCTGTGACCCTGCCGGATAGGGCGGCTGTGATGCAGTGCGCGGTGTTGGCATGCAGCGCCATCCCGTGTTGGTGGTCAGGTTTGCTCAGCCCGCCCATGCAGCGCAGGAGGGGCCAGCGCTGAAGGTGCTAGCTGTGTGTATCCTGTAGTTAAGTCGTCATTTGTGCCAAGCCCATGGCTTCCAAAAACCACTGAGGGTTCATTCCCAGCAGTGGGATGAAGACTGATCTAGGTGTGGGATTCTCAAAGTGAAGTTCTCTCTGTGTCTACAATGAGCCGAGAGCCCTGGCAATGGGCTTGTGCTTCTTGCCTGGCCCACATTCAGCTTTTATGGGTTTCCCACTTGGTTCCTGGCCCTTAGAGGGAAGGTGGGTGCTCCTTGCTACAGAGTTGACTACACTAGCTCAGGGGGTCTATGCTAGTGTTTGATCAGTTGAGATGAGTGACTTCCAAGTTCAGCTGGGTTTGAACTCCAGCCGTGGCGATGTTGAGCTTGCAGCAATGCCTGTAACAGTAGTATAGGCTCCTGGAAGTCTGCGCTCTGCTCTCTAAGCATGGGAGCCACCTGCTTCCCTATGGATCTAGCTAGTTCTCTTCAGGACTGGGTACGAGCCTGAGGCTGAGTCGTCTGAACTGTCACCCCAAGCAAGCCCTTCTAGGTCCTAATGCCACGTGTGGCCCATGGTTTCTTTGCCTTCGATTCACACATTTTATTTGAACAATAAAAACGTGTCTATCACAATGCCAGTCAATCTTGAAAGCGGAGATGAATCCCGAGGCGCTCTGATCCTAGAGGAGCGGGCAACACCCTACAAATCAAGCAGCTAGAGCATGGAAACAATCCAAGTGTTTATAGCAGGGGGATGGCTGAACTGCCTGTGGTGAATTCAATGCAGTGGAACCCTACTCAGCCCCGGAAGGAGTGGGTGACTGCTATCCACGCAGCACGCCTCCATGGGAAAGCAGCAAGGCGCACAAGCACACACCCCGTGCAATCCTGCATCTTGGAAAGTCTGGGACAGGAAACACTCCTGTTAGCACCGGGGGTGCAGGTGGGGGCCGATGGGGAGGGAACACCGAACCAAACCTGCAAGGGGGTGGTAATGAACATGCTGCCTCTTGGACAGGGCTTTCTACTCTCTCCTAAGGGGTTTGCATGGCTGACATTCACGGACTGGGATGTGATACACTTTAACAACATCCGCCTGATAGCCCATTGGAGCTTTATACCTTCCATTGTATCTAAATCTTATCCCTCCAAAAAGAAAAAGCTCATTAGCAGATATTCTGTGCTAGTTGATGGCAAATCGACCGAAGTGTTCTAATGCGACGTGCGCACCGTATGTCAAACCTGTTTCGGATGGAATGGTCGGATAATAAGAGATGGGCTGGCAGGTGGAAGAGAAGCAGCATGAATGGATAAATCTAGGGTAAAGTGAGCGGAGCTCTGAGTCAGGAACTCTGGCGATGTAGTGGTTGGGTATGTGTTGAGCCGGGAACCAGCAGTTGGAAGCCATGAGCCAGCCCGCAGCGGAAAGACAGGGCTTTCTACTCACTCCTGTGAAAAGAGACACAAGCACTGACACTCGGGGCAGCTCTGCCCCGACCTCGAGGACTGCTAGGAGTCTGAATTGAATTGATGACTTTGAGTTTGCTTGGGAGTTAAATGTTAAGATAAATTATATAGGCAGAGGGTGTCTGGGTGGTCACAGTTCTTTCACCTTTTCTATTTGATTTTTTTTCTCGTAAGAAGATAGGAAAAAAGAGCTGGAGGGCAAGTCAAGCCCAGTACTTCCAGCACAAACACAGAGAGTGAGGCCAGGTAGAAGCTTGCTAGTGTGCGTGTCCCAATCCTTGAATGCCTTGAATCTTCTGTACCAGAATCGGAATCCTTGGGAGATAGATGGTTGGGCTAATTGGGGATTAATTGACCTCGAATTATTTTTTAAGCAATCAGAGTGAGCCTGTCCTACTTATAGCTTTCGTCTTTGTAAAGACTGCATCTTTTCAGAACAGGCACAGGGAGGAAAGTCTGCACATGCCTCACACTAACTCTCTCCTGGCAGCAGTTAGAGACAGGGACTGGAGCTAGCTTGCTTCAGAGACCAGGTTAGACTCGAGGTTTTCCCAGACTGGAACAAAGCGGCAGCTTGACTTATTGTACAGGTCAATCAAAGAACAGGCCAAGCAGGTTGGTAGAGAGTGGGCTGGTCAGTTTCCCTCAGAGTATGAGCCCGTGCTGTATCCTAGATTTCCTTTGGAAGCTCTAAAGGGCTGGGCTTGTCTGGAGCACCCTGAGCCCCCAAAGAGGAGGGTGGCTCATGGAAGCAGACTTCCCATCTGGCACCTGCCCAGGAGCATGCATCCTTTCCCAGTGTCTCCTCCGCGCTTGCTTTTCCAGCTGGAAGAAAAACAGGAATAGGATGAAGGGGGGTATGGCCTTTCAGCAGACACTGCGTCCCCACGTGGACATGACATCGTGTTTGTTTTCTTCTCCAGGTGACCGGGTTGCTATCGAGCCTGGCGCTCCCCGAGAAACGGATGAATTCTGCAAGATTGGCCGGTACAATCTGTCACCAACCATCTTCTTCTGTGCCACGCC